AAAGGTTCATTCAGTGACGGAAACTCTCGAAGAACCTGATCGCGCTGAACGGGAAACCCTAGAAAAACCCCCGAAGGGTTCAAGAAAGTCTAGAAAGCGCAACAAATCGCCTCGACCAAGCACTCCCCTGCCAGAGCAGGTTCAGGGGGTGGACGAAGAAGTGGTGGAAGAAGCCCAACCGGAACCGGTGCAGGAAGCAAAGCCTGAAGCTAAAGCCCAAATTCCCCCCAATGTAATCACTTGGGCTAAAATCGCGGCTTCCAGCAGGGAGAATTCTCCTTTGCCAAAAGTGGCCGGTAAACCGGAAGCTCCCAAGCCGGCATCCGCAGAAACTCCCCAGCAGGCAACCCAACCGAAACCAGTAGAACCAGAACAACCAAAAGAGGTTGACACTGTTAAAACCGGCCAGCCACCAAAGGAACAAGTTCCTCTGGAACCCCCGGAAGACGCAGACGTTCCAGATGGCCGAATAACCTACGCAAGCATAGCAAAAGTCCTGAAGAGTAGGGAAACTTCTCCAAAAGAAAAACCAATTGGGGCAACCTCGCAAGGTCCACCAGAGGAAAAGCCCAAGAAGCAACGCCAAGCTAAATCAAAGGACCCTAAAGAACCAAAAGAAGACCAACCCAGGCAAATTCCTCGACCAACTGAAGAACCTCCATCTCAGGAATTTATCCAGCAAGAAATTGCTGAAGCCTCAAAATCTGCAGGCGCTCACCACATAACCTATGCAGATATTGTTGCCTTGAATGCAGCCAAAACCGTGGTGGAACCCACCTCCAAACCTCCTTTGGTTCCTGACTCCCCAACTACCAGCCCTCAACGAGTAGCCCTTGCCTCTTCCGCGGTAGCTGGAGAACCCAAAGAACCAACCCGATTGGTTGAAACCCTCCAGGAGCCACAGGTGGAAGTGAAGAAAAAGCGAAAGAGGAGCCGGCACAGATCGCACTCCAAACAGCCAAGCGACCCTCAAGAGGAACCACCAATTGAACTGGGTAAAGATGAGGCGAAAGCTTCGTCTACAGCTAAATCATGGGCTTCAGTAGTCCAAGCTGGAGATGCCGATAAGGGGGAGAAAAAACCCCAGTCTTCTGAGGCTGCCACGGAGGAAGTTAAGGCTGAAGATCGCCCAGCAGAGCCTGCCGCGAAGCAGAAGTCGAAGAAGGACAAAAAGAATAAGAGCGAAAAACCCGGGATTATCAGCAGTATTATTTCTTCAGTGAAAAGTGTAGTAAGTGGCAAGAAGGCCCCAGAAGAAAAAGGTGAGGACGAGGCGGGAAAATCGAAGAAAAAGAGGAAGAAGGCAAAGGACAAGGCCAAAAACCACGACGCAATTCACCTGCCCAGTACAGTTGCCAGAGAAATTGTCCATGACGAACCCATTGAAGAACCCATCAAACTAAGCGAAGAACCCAACGAAAAGCAAATAACGGCGCAATTTTTAAGTGAAGAAACCGCATCTACTGAAGCAATCGAAGCTCAATCGCAACTAACACTTGACAAACCCTTGGAAGAGATTGAAGATGTACAAACCCTTCCATCTGCCGATGCAATTACAGACAATCCACTGGAAGTAGTTGGCGCAAAATCGAGTGAAGAAAAAGAGCCGGAAGAGGCCACATCAGAAGCACCTGAGGAAAGTCACGAACCAGCGACAGCAGAAGCAATTGATAGTGAATGGGAAGTCGTTGAAGTCTCAGAAGTAATTGAAGAACAGCAACCGGAAAAGGCAACTGAAGATCAATTACCAGCGGTAGAAGCGATTGATAGTCAATGGGAAATCATTGAAGAAAAACAACATGAGGAGACACCAGAAGTAGTTGAAGAAAAACAATTGTCCCCTGTGGAGGCAGCGTTAGAATTACCTGAAGACTATCAAAGGCATGACGCTGCTGAAGCAGCCTTGGAAGTAGTTGAAGAAATCACTAGTCCCACTGTAGCTGAAACTGCGCCAGATGGAGCCATGGAAAATCAAAGGAAACCGCTTGAGGAAACATCAGAAGAACTGGTGGGCAGTCAAGAAACAGTCAAAGACGCTCTTCAATTGGTAACGCCCCAAATAAGTGAACAGGAAACCATCAAAATAGCAACAAAGCAAATTGACGCCGAAGAAGCAACAAACTCCCAAAAATCCGCGATTGAGGACTTTATTTCAACAGAAAAACTTATCACTGAAAGTGACTATCCGGTGAAAGAAGCGAGCAAAAAGGATAGGAAAAAATTGCAGAAGCAAAGCTCAGAAGAAGCGAAAAAGCCCGGACTTATCCAGGCGGTGGTTAAGAAAATTTCTGATGTCTTCACCAAGAAGCCCAAACCGGAAGCTCTACTAGCGGGTAATTTGGGCCAGGAAGATGTTTGGCTTGCCAGGAACATCTATGAGGACGCAGAGGTGGCTTGGTATGAGCAGGTGAACCGGCCAGTGGAACAAGCGGTGGAAAATCCTCTTGAGGCGCTAAAAGAGAATCTGGTGCAAGACTCGTTCTGGCTCTTAAAACCCATTTACGACGAAGCAGAAGAATTGTGGATGGCGGAAAAGGAGCGAAGATCCAAAGCTGCTGCTGAGGAGAGTGTAAAACTCCCGGACGTTCCCGATAAAGACGACGACCACGACAATGGTTCAAGCGGAAAGAGTTCACCTAGACCTACTCATAGAGGACCTGGAGGTTCAGGAGAACCAACCTCTCCATACCTCATGTACAGTCTTCCGGGAGGAATCGCGGGTTGGAAGGAAACCAGCACATATCTTGCGGAACAAATCCCTGTCGATCAAACCGCGATTAACGGAAACGTTGACGACTTAGACGAATCGTTCCATTCCCTACCCGACCAAACACTTCCTCCTCTAGAGCCTCAAATGCAGCAACCAGCAAGTCCACCAGCCGAGGCCAGCCAGCAACGAAAGAAGGTGAAATACACTTGTGTTGTGTGTCTGAGCGTTCAGTCGTTTTGCATGCTTTCCACTAATGTAGCTTATTTACTCATTTGTATCGTTCTATTTCTACTCCTTTATATCATGTAAATATATTACGATTATATGCTTGTAATGGTGGTTTGGGTTTGAGGAGTTTGGAGAGTTGGAGGAATTTAAAAACCATTTCAGAATTCAGCATGTTCTTTCATAATTGTGTTAATTTCAGCATGAATGTTCTAATGTTTTTTGCCGTGATTATTAACCCAAGCAGTCCTCAAAGAGTCTTTTGCGAAAAAACCCACTTTGACGGCGATGTTGATTGCTGTTAATATTGATGTGTTCACAAGATGGTTTTTGGACAATCGT